AGCTACAGTTTCAGCTTGAGGGCTGAACTAGGGAAAACTACTCAATTCCCCAATCCAAACTAAAGAGCATTGATAGAGGAATCTTCACTGCCAGCTTTTTTTCTGCAGCAGCACTGATCTGATAGGATGCAGTCAGTGTTTGGACAATAATTTTCCACCCAGGTTAGTTAAGTTAAAATTGACTTTTGTCAAACCAGGTGGGGCTTGCAAGGCCACCTACTGCTCAAATTTGGCCAGCTTGAGTTTCTCAGCAGAGAAAAGAGGCAATTTTTGGCTGCCAGTGTTTCTTTTAGGTATGCACCAGGCACTAGACTTTCAGCTTGGAGGAGAAATACACAGAAAAGTCACCCAACTGCAACTTCTGCACAAAGGTACTTTTATTTTTCAGACTGTATGCAAATAACACTACCCATTCCATAGATGCTAGGCAACTATCATAGCAGTTAATATGCTTTGTTCAGCACAGACCTCTTCTTTATTCTTCTGAAGAATGTGTCTATCATTTGTTATAGTAATGACACATTGCACTTGGATGTTAACAGTGGTACAAATATGACAGCCTTTATCTCTGTATTTCAGATGCAGTTTCCAGCAAACACTAGTATGAGATAAACCACTAGACCTTGTAAATGCTTTTGACAGGTACTTTTTTATCTTCCCTTCAATGATGCTGGCTCAGCTAGAGAATGATTGGCATACTTGTCACATTTCAGATAAGGAAACTGACCTTAACATGTTGCCATGTGCTTCTCAGCTGAATCTACAGTGTATTCAAGTTGTAGACCCCAACTGTACTTCTGTAGTTTTCTAATGCGTAAGAAATTGAAATGTTCTGTTCTTTACAGAGTTCTCATGCACAGTGCCCTAACTTAAAACTGCAATTCCTGCAGGAACCCTAAATGTCAGGGACGTGCAGTCTGGGTAGGCAGCTGAGGCAGAGCCTCAAGTCTGAAGCTGTCTGAAGAAGTCATCTCTAAACCTGATGAAGGGGATCCTGCGCGTTTGCCATTTGAGAGACATCTATCAATAAAAATGGATTTGCACTAATTTGTAAGCTTTCGTGCTGGTGTGCTTGTGACATCCTTATTGAAGTTTCAAGTCTGAAGCTGACAGCTTTTTCTCCATTCAGACTGGCTTCTTGCAGGTTACATAGTGGGGAAAGCCTTCCCGCTGTGTAACCTGTCATGGATGGACGGCTTATGACAACTATGTTAGGTTACACAGGAGCAGGCTTTACCTCTGCTCAGTGGGGTGCCTCACCTGCCACTGACCTCACCGCACGTCCTTGCTAAATGTACAGGTATAGGGAAGGACCTGTGGGGTCACTTTGCTTTCTGTGACTCTGCTCTGATTCCTCTCAAGCACATAATCAGCAGATCAGCAACCCAATAAAGACTCACTAAGACCTATATAATATGCTGCTGATTTAATAATGGAGTACAGCATGTTCACTTTGCAGAAGAATTTTCACTTACTTTAGTGAATGTGATCCATATTCACTTTGCAATGAAAACCTAATCATGTGCAAGAAAAAAAAAAGGAATTTTTGCTTGCACATGATTGGTTGACAGAAGCCAGCACATAATTACCTTATCCACTAAGCTACGTGAAAATTTCCATGAAGTGAAGATGCTTTACTGATTTAGTAAATTTGCCACACTGTTTTATTCAGCAACAAAAAATTATTTTAGGTTTTAAGTAGCTTAGGTTTGGGCAGAAGGCTTCTGAAAACCGAGATGTTTCATTCACTAGAGGGTACAAAACAATTTGGGGTTTACAACTTTAAAAAACACTGCAGCAATTTGCTGTTCTGATCCATGTGACCCTATGAATCTTAGGGTTTACAGTTGCCGGCTTAGTCAGAAGTGGCAACAAAAGAAGCCAAAATCAAATTGGTTGCTATTGAAATTTGCATCTCATCATGACTCTACTGAATAAGTATATGTCAACACAGATCCTCCTACTGCATTCACTGTGTTATAGTATATGTGTCAACACAGATCCTCCTACTGCATTCACTGTGTTATAGAAACCAAACCCTCTTTTTCATATCAGAAGTCAAAGTCCACTGTGAACTTCCTCATTTAGTGCATTCAGTGTTTCACAGACAATTTTTATTGCGATATTTCAGCAGCATGGTAAGTAACATTTTCTCACCTTTTTAACTATGAAGGAAAAGAAAAGATGACAAATGGTCACAGCCAATTTTCATGTATTCATGCTTGTCCCTAAAAAAGTGAAGCATCTTGTAACATTTAAAGTGTGTAATTGTGCTGTAAAATAATGTATACTCTATGCAGTAAATTGCCAGGAATTTGATTTTGTATGAAAAGTTATTATGCTGAACATTTTTATTGGCATGTCTTTAACGCCTCTACTCCAGTCCTCCAGTATCTTGACTGGCCATGTTTTTATGATGTTCCTAATTGTGCTCAGGTGACTTAAGTAGGGCGTAAACGGTTGGAATTTCAAACAAACGAAATCGATTGCGGAACGTTCATTCAAATTTCTAATTGTTGATGCTGTGAAATCGGTGATCGATTTTCGACTGCAGTGAAGAACAAATTCAAAAGGAACATGTTAAAAATGTCTCTAGATTGCACTAAACTCTAAAGGTGAATGTGGTTTTTCTTCAGAAAACTCCATTCATTCCAAAATCAAATGTTAAATAAAAATGTAAATTAAAACAAAAATGTTTTAAGTCTCTGATGGTATTATTGAACGTTCCAACTGGATTTTTCGTACAAACATTTGTGCGAAAATCTACCCATGTATACCCAACTTAATCTGAGTCAGTAATTAACAAAGCAGTTCTCAGTGAGCAAATGCTGGAAAACATGACATGTTGTGGCTGCTTGAGAACCAGAAATACTGATTTAGCTATAGGAGGTATTTTCTAAGAAATAAGCCTCCACACCTGAAAGAAACATTGTTTTGTATTTTAGATTACAATGATCCAGTTTTATCACGTCACTGTAAATTATAACTATCTTGACGTTTAAATATCTCTTTAAATACAGCTATTCCTCACTTATGACCAAGTTTCGTTCCTACGACTAGGTTGTTAAACAAATTGGTTGTTAATCGAGGAACTGTAAACAGTACTGTACTAGTGCTGTACTGTAGTGTTGGAGATGTACAGTACTGTACAGTGTACTGTAAATCTGTAAATACAGTACTTACTGAGAATAGTAGCGGAGAATGGAGTATAATACTGTATGCAAGATGAAGTCGGTGAGATGCCGCTGCCACATTCCCGCACGTAGTGTCGGAGAGCTAGTCGTAAGTGCGAGTGGTCGCTAAACAGGTAGGTCGTTAAGTGAGGAATAGCTGTAGTTTAAATATCTTTTGAGCCCAACTAGCTTAGGATGGTGTGTTTTCTGAGGATACTGCAGGGCTCTCTACTGATAAAGAAAACAACCTCTGCTCATGGTTAATAGTTTTTGAAAATGTATTTGGATGGGAAAGTTACATAGTAAAAGTGAAGTTTAGGAGAAATTAGCAGGCAGAGATCCTGACAAGTTTTAAGCAAGGATCTAATGGATTCATCATGGGGGGCTTTTATTAAACACCAAGTCTTGAACATTTGCCATGATATTGTAAAACATCTTACATGTTAACTCAACAAAAGTTTGTTCTTGTCCAGAAAATGGCACGGCATGTTTTAGAATTAGGAGCAGACATTTCTTAGGCTGCATTAGCACGAATATTCTTGCACAAGCATGATATTGAATTCCCCTGATTGTTTTCTATTCTAATGGAACACTTTAATCAGTTCAATCATTACCCAAAGCCTTGCTGCCCAATATTAGGAGGCAAACTGTCTAGAGGTGCCCATACACTGCATGATTCTCGTACGAGAATCGCGGGAAATCCCACGATTGTGCGATAATCGTGCAGTGTATGGAAGGCATGCGACCGTTTCTACTGTACGGTCGCACAACAAGCAGGTTTTCGATGATCGCAAGTACGATCTGCCTGTCCAAGATGGGCAGATCATACGAGCTTTTGATAAGCTTACGACCATCGCAAGACAAAAGTCTTGCAATGGTCGTAAGGTGTATGGGCACCTTAGGACGGCACAACAAAAGGACTGTTCTATAACATCTCAAAGTAAAAGACATCCTAGCAAGAGAACCTTTTATATAAAGCATCCTAACATTTGCATATAAACACTTATTATTTTCATTTAGCCATTAGTAAAGCATATCATCATTTTTCTTTCATCGGTATACAGAACAATAGCATCCGGAGGACATTAAAAGGCATTATACTGGGATCACTTTATATGGCTTAAAGCCTTATTTCACTGCTGCCTCGCACACAGTAAAGGCAAGCAGCAGTTTCTTATCTTCATCACGGGTGCTAACATGGAGAAAAGGGAAAGGTTTAACCCATATAAAACAGGAAGATGTAGGTTTAAATATAAACCAACAAAATGTACATCAATAGTATAAGGACAGGATCACAATGGCTCAGCAAAACATTTCTGCCAATTTGCAATGCTATAACTTTATCTATCATTATAGGCTAGCATCTCTAGGGTATAGGAGTACTTATTTAATAAGCAGGCAAGTGCAATACATGGGAAGCACTGGGTAGGTCACGAAGAAGCTGAAGGGAGGGCTCAGTCTAGTCAAACTGATTCCTGATTGCTAATATTACAAAGTGTTTTTATCACCATTGTAATGCAATAATAATAAATGTGATCATTTTACCAAGTGCATTAACAGTTCCTTAGTTTTAAATGTTTTACATGATTAATCATGGTTCCTGATACACTGTAAAGGAGAAGACTAGAATTTGAAATTTCTTGCAGCCCAATAACTGTGGCATTTGGAAAGCAAAGAAAATATCGGATTACAGGTAAAAAAAATGAACTGACTAGTTTCTCTTTACATTTAATTTATAATCCTTGTATTTGACAAGGGAACCAACACACAATATTCATTTTTTTTTAAATTGCAACACAATTAATGTAACTCTCTACACAGGTTCAATTACAGTGAGATATTTCCCGCATACAGGATGTGGCTCCCGCTGCTGGTGGTGTTAGGCCTGCTTCTCCTGTTCAGATGGTACAGACAAAGGCAAATCCTGGAAAATCTTAGAGATAAATATGTTTTTATCACTGGCTGTGATTCTGGATTTGGAAACTTGTTGGCTAAGCAGTTGGACAAACGTGGAGTGAGGGTTCTGGCTGCCTGTCTGACAGAGACCGGGGCTGAGAGCCTGAAGAAAGAGTCCTCCAGCAGACTGCAGACAGTAATACTGGATGTTTCAGATAGCCAGAATGTTAATTCTGCTGGTCAATGGGTATCTCAAATTGTTGGAGAAAGAGGTAGGATTACGTTTTGTCCCTTATGTAAACCTCTAAGTCTGTAAACAAGGGATTCAAACCTTAAAGGTATGGAGAATGGCATCAGAAGCAGAGTCCAAGGGGTGGCCTGCCATACTCCTTACCGGAAACCCCAGGCGGCGGGTTCTGGGCACCGCTGGGATCAATGAGGAAGCAGAATGTGTCCTGGTGACATTCTGCTTCCTCATTGACATCAGAAGCACACTCTCGGGTAGATGAAAACTTGCCCAGCTCACTCTTGGCCTTTTTCTAGAATAATTACAATGCACGTAAATCTGCATATGTTTCAGGCACATGCAATGGAGTCAGTCTCATTATGGTATTGATGTGAAATGTGAACTGGAGTACATATCGCTTTATTAATTATCTCAACTGTGCACACAAAAACTATACAAAATATAACAAACGTCTGAGATGGGAAATGTTTTATAACTGATACAAGCACAAAAATATCTCCATGCTGCAAAGACTAGGAAAAAGAAAAACATTCTTGATTAGCATTATCGCATGGCCCTACTGGCCTGGTATTGGCTGAAAGCTGTAGCTACACCAGACACTGAAGAGTGGTCTATTGCTCATTGGGTAAAACAAATAGAATTGCTGCATAACAATTCTATCGACATCACTCATGGTCATACAGTCTTATTGAAGGTTCCCAAAAATTTGGAGATTTGAGATTTGGGTAAGCCATAATTGGTGCAAAGCCAGACACCACCTGCAAGCTTTTAACCATAACTGATACCGCTAACTAACCAAAGTACACTAACCTCACAGTGCAGGAACTTGGCACAGGACAGGGACTGGGAAAAAATTATTTAGTACATACAGTATATTGGTCAGATACTCAGGCTGGCTTCTTGACGGCCCATTTACACCTAAGCTTTGCATCGTGTTTGCACATGCCTTAATATGTGTTATGACATGTGGTAATGTGCGTCGCATTAAGGAAACCTGTCCATTATGAATGGGCTACCAATGCATCACGATGGATATAAAAAGCTACATTAGTTTTTATTTCTAGGGAGCATAAAAAATGTGCTCTCTCTTAGCAAAATATTTACTATCCAGCTATAGAGGATTCTGAAATTTTCCACATCTTAAAGTGCTGACAGTTTTCAGTAAAATCTGAGTTCATAACAGAATTTTTTTTGTTATGAGAATATACCTGCAAATTGATACATAACCATTATTGCTCTTTCAAATGTTATACATTTTCTATAGAGTTTTTGCTGCCGTTTACCTAGTCCAAAATGTTTTTGCAGGACTCTGGGGACTGGTGAATAACGCTGGTATTAGTGGTCCAGTGGCTCCAAATGGATGGCTGAAAAAGGATGACTTTTTAAAACCTTTGAATGTGAATTTACTAGGGATGATTGATGTAACTCTCACATTACTACCTCTTATAAAAAGAGCCCATGGACGGATTGTGAACGTCTCCAGTATCCTTGGAAGAATTGCACTAACTTCAGGTGGTTATTCTATATCCAAGTACGGTGTGGAAGCATTCTCTGACACCCTAAGGTAATTAGACATCCTGTTTGACATACATTGCAAATTGCAATATACGGCCGTTGTAATAACACGGCCGGGAGCTTTACATTCAAGCGATGACGCCTGACCGTTTGTATAGGAGCAGCTTCACTGCCGTGCCGATCCCGAGATCCGCTGTGCCCGATGCGGCCGGGACCGGTGTTCTATCGAAAGTTCCAACTCCTCGAGTTCTCCAACCATCTGACTTCCGGTTTCGTTAGAAATAAGAGGTTTACCCGAGAAGGCTGTACTGCACGTGTGCCACCCGCGGCATTTCCCTATACACATACTACACAGCAACAAAATATTAAAATTAACTAGGTTTACAGTAATCGAGCACGTTATTTATCTCAGTTGCCCTACTCAATATGGCCACCGCTTGTGTCGGGTGCGTCTACATGCGAAAACGAAGATTGCGCCTATTGTGCCACACATGTTACATATCACCGCGAACGTCGCAGTGAGAGCAATAATTTTAGGTCCATTAATTACTGATAACACTAAACTGATGAGCGTTTTAAACGTCGCCTATGGCCAATGTTCAGTGTGGTCTTTTTTTGTGATTTTGCGGGTGCACGCAATTTTAAGGCTTGGTGTTTTAATTTTAATTTTGGTGTCTATTTACACCACGTGCCCCCGACTTTTATATTTTACCAAAAATATGGGTAAGAATAGATGTTTTATACCATAACGTAGGGAAACTTTTTTTTGTGGAAATTTATGATACTTTTCTCATTATATAGTAAAAAAATAACCCCCCCCC